ATTAAATTTTTTTCATTTTGAAAAAATTGAGAATTAATAATGATAAGATTGTAGCAATGAAAGAAAAATACAAGGTGTATCCTTTCCTAAAAGTGTGATTCTAGAGACCAAAACAAACGCCAATGTTAATAAATTAACAAAAATATAGGTTAAAATTTATTTCTTTTATATTATAAGCAATTTAAGATATTCGAGATCGATGATGCAACATGAGAATGCGTCATGAGAATTTCCTATTCTATGGCGGTTGACACGTACAATCGTATTATAAATTTTTCTATAAAAAAGAATTTTCTATGTATTCGACTTTTATTTCGTATACGCGTTTCAGTATGTACATTCATTTTGGATTTCATTGCATTATGAATGAATTTAAATAAATTCATGTAAGAGCTGTATAAGAGAGCACAGTTTACTCTATAAATAAGCCTCTACTTTTCTTGTATTCTTCCTAAAAATATCCCACAATATATATATATTTTATACATTCTGTACAAACGTATATAACAACGCAATAAATAAAACAAACATTCATTTCATACTGTCAAAATATATAATTTATATTACAGCTTTTATTATCAGAATTGGGCACTAAAAAGTAGACTAGTTAAAAATTTCGAATAAACTTACTTTTAAATAATTACTTAAATAACTTTGTTAAAAATGTTCAAATGATATTTATTTCAATTTTCGAATAATAAATTATCGAAGAAACTTTATTCTTTAACTTTTAATTAAAATTTTGCCCATCTCTATTAACAACATAATAAAATCCAATATTTCTCTATTTACTAGTTCCAAAATGAAAAGGCTCGAAGAATCGTTTTTAAATCGTCCATAATTCGTGGACCGAACGATAGGACAAATATATATATATATATATTCCATGCGCGACGTGTACACGCATGTATAGGTGGGTCTGTGCGTAAGTCGCGACAAGACGGCGCTCTTACTTACGCATATGCATGGTCGTGACTAGAAACTGACTCATAGGCGTGGATTCAGCCCATTACACGTCGTCACCGAGCCACAGAATAGTTTGTACGACTGGATCAACCTCTGCCAATGAAACGCAACCTTGCAATACCAAAAAACAGTAGGGGGATCTAACGGTGTGTAAGGGTTCCTGGTAACGCCACCCTATAAACAAACAATCTTGCATCGCGAAAATGGTCGAGCGAACGATTCGTTTCGAGGCCTTTCCCAACTCGTGTTTGATCCGGTAGGACTGTAGGACTGTGGGACAGGGGTTGGTCAAAAAAAGGGTCCAACTCTGTTAATTTTATTACGAGCTCTTTTGGTCTGCCCCTTGCCCATTTTTAATTGCCTTGATCTCCCGCCATTTTATCGGCTATGGAATTAAACGATCCAGAATTGTTTAATTTCGAGAGGATTCCGGTAGGTAAGTGAACGAACGTAGTATTGAGAAAAATTAATTAGTTAAAATTTTAAATATATTTATTCGAGATGTTTGAATAACATAACTTTTTATCATTTTAATATTTTAACATTTCGTAGTTATTATAATTAATCTCGGCCGATAATAGAGTTAATTATAATCATTCAATGATAAATTATTGAAGTAATTTTATTCTCGAGTTTAATTGTTAAAAATTTTGTTCATCTCTGATTGAAAATAATAGAAAGATTTTTTAATTCGAGTCGTGTGAACTTGTTAGTTTAGTTAATTTTAAGTTTTTTTTACTTTTAAGTAAGTTTAGATAGTCTTTTGTATTCTTTTTTTAGCGATCTAGAATCTTCTATCATAAGCAACAGAATTTTATTAATTTATATTTTTGATTATGTATCAAAATGGAATCCATCTCTGTAAATCGTATCCTCCATTATTTTTTGTATTATATACATCTTTATATTATTACTTATAAAACTCTGCAAAAATGAGTGTTTATTTTTTTTTATCATATACAAATTTTAATGTTTATAATACTTAAGCTTAGAAAATTTTAAATTCTTTTTAATGAATAATCTGAAATTTGGACATCATAAATCATGTATTTTTTTATCATAAAAGGAACAGAATTTTGTTAACTATATATAGACAGAATATATTTATGAGTTATATTTTTTTTGTATAATTTTTAATGAAAATGGAAATGATTGCATCTCTATCAGTCCTCCACTATTTTTTCTTCATCTTTATGTACTACTTACATTGTGCAAGGATGAAAATAGTCATGAACGCTGTATTAAGAGAAAAATGACCACGTGCACGTTAGCATTATTCTGTGCATCGTTTACAGCAACGAGGGGGCATGCACGCATAATGGTGGTGTACTTCTGTCAGTGGCACGCGCTCATTAAAGTTTAGTCGGTCGCGTCGTCGCCATGCCATTGTTACGCCTCCGAGCCCCGATGTCAATGGAAAGTCTAAAAGAAAAATCTGGAATAAAGAATCCAGATCCCCTGATCTCTATCTCATGAATGGCAAACCTACAATTTGCTAGCAAAATGTGTCTTAATGGGGTCGTCTGTCTCCTTTCATGCGCCATCTTTATTGGGAATGATGAATGATAACGTTGAATAAAACTAATACGACACTCGTTACAAAATATTCCACGCGTCTAAATATTTGCATTGATTGTTTATTTTCGTAATTTCGAATAAAACTTACCTTCTACAGTAAGTAATATATCTAACCTTTTTACCAGAATTCATTGCCGAATGATATAATATATAATTTTTATTAATCGGAAGGAAATTTTTAAAATAACTCAATTTCGATCAAAAACAATGTGTTGTAGTTGACAGACTAGTGATAATTATCATTGTTTATATATACCTAAAATATATATATATACCTATCTCTATAATGAAAATGAATAAGATGTTATGTATTTATTCTAAAAAAAATTGTAACATATATGTCACATATAGAAGCTAACAATAAATGTGTGGATGTGGATAACAATACAAAACAGAATCGTCCATATCCATTTTTTACAATTTTTGTTAATTGAGAAGTTTTAAGTAATTTAATCTAACCTAATCAAAAACGATATGTTATAATACTAGACTAATAGTAATTTATCATTTTTTGGATGTCAATCATTTAAAATAATCTAAGCTAATCTAAAAAATAATGTGTTGTAATATCAAACTAACAATAATTTGTCATTGTCTATGACAATCATTTATCCTAAAGAAATACATATGTTACATATACATGACATGTGAAAGTCTTTTATAGCATGTTAATGATAAACAGAAATTGTCTTTCGTCATTAAAAATCTAGAACATTCAAAGATAAATTTTTTATTATTTTTCATTCTTATTCTACTTATCGTAACAAGAAAAGAAAAATATTTGAACAATCGAATCGATTACTTCTATTTTGCAACCATATCTATCTTTCACCAGGAAAAGGATTTTAAAAAAGGATGAAAGTTACAAGCTACCAGAGCTTTGAGAATTTGATTTCTTTCGAGCGGAGTCGCCTCGTCAATCCCTATTCCACCGATGCCAGGCCAATTAACCGGGAAAATTCGCGTAGACAGCGAACGAGCACAACTTTACCCACTTTTCTTCGCCTGCTAGTCGCATGGCACTTGCTGTTTCCATTTAAACGAATTACGACGGTGTATTTAGCTACACTATTCAGAAGTACGCCCGCCAACCCTTTCGGATTGTACGTGAATACAAGCAATTAACACGTACACCACGGGTCGAGTAGATGCATGATCTACGATGGAACGGTGTGCGCGAGGCGGAAGTGGAAAAGTGGTGGGGGCACAGTCGAGCAAATATCCAGCAAATAAGCGCGGCGTACGCGCGTTAATAGGGTTAAACGGAACTGACGCGACCTCTACTCTCTTCGAAGTAACGAAGTTATTCGAAGTAACTGCTGGTGCGAGATCGTTCGTCTATAGGCACACACAAACTTCGCTTTACTATATTCAGCATCGCTAAACAGCTTTTCCTTCGATTGCTTTAGAATTAGGTATGGGACACCTTCTTTTGTCATTTTTAATGATGTTTTTGGAAATTGATTAGTTAAAATTCCAATCTATTTTTACAAGAAATATTTGAAATTCCATATTTTAACTTAAATTTAAGGAGTTCGCACGAATTTCATAAGAATTTAATTAAATAACTTTCTTAACTTTTCCTTTGATTGGTTTAAAATTAAATTTAGGACGCGTTTTTTCTTTTTAATAGTACTTTAAGAATTGATTAGTATTTTTTCTTAATTAAAATCTTCAATCTAATATTTTTTCATTTTTCAAAATATGTTGTAACTTTTAAAATTTCATTAATATTTTTAATTTTAAATATTTTTTATATTTTATCTTTTAAATGAAATTATAAACTTTATAATAATTTCGTAGAAATTTTGACATTAATTTAGTTAGATAATTTCTCTGGTAGGATGGTGGCACGTGTCTCGAAAATAATAAAGATCATTTAAAATTTCAATCAATGTTTGATCGATTATTGGCCACCGGTTGGAAATTACAAAGAAACACCTTTACCTGCGTGAAAGGAAGGCTCGTAACGAGCGCAGGTGCGTTCCGGCAAGCGTTACAAATTCAATCGATGAACGCCACACTCGTCATTAGTATGAATCACCGATCAACCGTCAACTATTGTATTTCGAAGGGTTCCAATCTACCGTTTTCACTAACAACGAGATACATACGATTCTTTTTTTTAAATACTTTTTTTTTTAATATTTTAATTTTTACAAAAGTTTATTAAGTAATCCAATTGTTTCTAATGCTAATTATAATCATATATCGACATTAACAACACTTTTTCACACAAAAAAAAAGTAAAAAAAATAGTTTATTTGTTATATCAACAACGTATTGTTCATAATATTATAATAATAATTATCAATAAAATAAACAATATATATATATTAAATATATATATAATTAAGTAAAAATTAAGTAATATATTAAGTAAAACTGTGATAATCGATGATACGAAAAAAACGATTAAAATTGAATAGCAATATCATATTTAATTATTAATGTGATTTTTTTTTTATTAAACATAATAGGTTATGACACGGAATCTCGTTCCACGATAGCCTACCAGTAGCCAATTCTACCGTAGCTAAAGGGTTATACATAGGTTATATCAGATTTGTGCCACGCAACTGTAGAATAGAATTACAGTTTTGAAATAGTTGAAGATAAAAAAAAGTATTGTGAAGTAAACTCAAATGACTTGGTGTGATATGGCATTATCGGTATACAGGACGACTCAAAAATTCAAAAAAACTTTGTTTATTAATTTCTACTGTTTCGAATCATTTATATTAACTTTAAAATCAATTTTACTCTCCGTAAAAATTCTGGAAAAGATAAATTTGGATAAAATCTGAAGTCTTTCTATTATTGAAAGTTGTGGAAGGAATACGTTCGAGTGTGAAGTTCCCATGTGAACACAACTGACTGTTTACTAGGGGTCCCTAAGTGAACATCGATGCGTTAATTACGGTAATATCCCCAGTTTGGTCGAAACTCCGGTTGGAATTCGAAGTAACGGTCACATCGTTCGAAAGGCTCTAATGGCGCGTTCAAGACAAATTTTGATATTCCCACGCATTATAGCTTCGCACGATCTATACTATTCCATACAGAGACAGCTGTTGGATTCTGAAACATAGGGCGAGTTGTAATTTCATTTTCTAAACTGTCATTGTAATTTTTAAATACTTTGATAAATTTCGTGTAGGAGAAATATATAGTTGTTCATTTTTATAGAAAGGAAATGTATCGATTGAAATATAAAGAAACGTAATGTAATTTCATAAAAAAAAAAAAAAGATAGAGACGATTTCAAAATCTTCCAATTTTATAGAATATCATTTGAAATCATTTAATTTTATCTCATAAAATTTTATTCTATTTATATTATTTTAAATAAAAATATTACTAGATTGTTATTTAGATTAGGTATTTAATGTAACTAGATCTAGTAATATTTTTATTATTTAATTAATTAAATTATTATTAAATTAATATTATTATATTAATTTAACTTAATTTAATTTAATTTTGTTTCATAAAATTTTATTCTATCTTTCACAATTTAAGAAATATTGTTAGATTCAATTACATTTAAACGCTCAATCCAATTAACAATCTAACCTAACTATTTATACAACATTTATACAATCGTAAAAGATATTGTTAGACCCAATTGCATCAAATAGCCTATGTAAGTAATACATACGTACTTAAATCATTTAATTTACAGATTGGTTAAATATCTCGAGTACTTGTAAACGTTTTCTGTATCCATCCTGTGCCATTCTCGCGAATTCTCGAAGACATTCCATCGGCCAGTTTAAAATATACCCGGAGATATTTCAACGATTCACACGAGCAATTACTTTCAACGAAAGCTCGAAAGGGCGAATAAAGGTGGCAGAGGCTGAGATACGGCCTCATCAAGCCCGTTTTTCCCTCCCGATGTCCCAGAAACGGAACGAGTGCGCTCGAGTGTCTATTATGGCAAATCTATTTCGGTTGACGCCACCCGTGCAGGAATGTGTCCCTTGGCACACGCACGCACATCGTGTATACGCGACCCTGACAAAGACCACTTGATCTCTTCACCGTAAACAAGATTAAGAATCCAATTATAGAATTCTTTTGTAAAATATTGCCTTGTCTCCTCCGCTCTTTCCCTCCTTTTACCTCAAAAAGTCAATCTTTCCCTAAATATACTTTACTATCAAAGGTTATCTTTTCCAAAAACCAAAAATTTTAATCTTGGTTTTTAACTTTTATTTTTTTTTTTTTCTTTCCATATTTTTTTCGACGTAAAAGAAGTATATTACAGATTAAAATGTAAAAATCTTTCATTTTTATTTACAAATAAAAATTAATATTTAGAAGAAGGTATTTAGATACTTGTTATTTTGATGAATCTTCCGATGGATTTTAAATTTTAATTTTTTACACAAACGAAAGATATCTATATAGAGAAGACAAGAAAATTATCCTTTTATTTATGAAAGATAGTCCAATTTTACAAATGTATAAGATTTAAATATTTGAAATTAAAAAATTTGGTATTTTGGTAAGTTTGACTGATTTGAAAATTTTTAATTTTTAAACAAATGAAAGATATGGAGAAGAAAGAAGTAAGAAAATTCATTACGATTCTGCTATTATTTTCACAGTTTTTTCAATAAATCTGTTCAACTTTATTTTAAATCGTCCCCAAATTGTGGTGACGAATAAACAATCATTCCTATGTAAGACACACTGAATCAGATTTCGAGAATGACTTCACCCATTTTACGAGGTAACAAGAACAGGAGGACAGCGGACAAATCAGTGACGATGACGGTGGGGTGATGGCGTCTAGACGTTGTCGTCGTGGATGTCGTTGACGTCGTCGCACTGACTCACTCGACGCCGACATCCGACTGTAGGGGGTACGGCTAAATATTGCGTGCACGCAATGACACACGGTGCTTTGAAATAGTTCCACAAGCGAGCAAGCCTTGATTCGCTCGTTGCATCCGACTACTCCCTTTCCTTCTTCAGGGTCACGTGAATTATTGACACCGTACTATTTAAGGTACCGCTTGTCTTAACCATCGCGATTTTTTTTTTTTTTTTTA